ATGTGATGTCCAAGGAGGTAGAAGTGGAGGCAACAAGAGTTTCTTGATGGTTTGCAATATTTTGTCCAATATGTGCTTGGAATATATTAGTATATTAATAAGTTGTTTTCATGTCCACAGGATTTGAATTTGTCCAATATGTTGACTGTGAATGCGAGTTGCAAATTGGTGTTCAGGAAGTTCTGGACCCACTGGGGCCTCCAGTGTCCATAGCTTCCGAGGACTGATGTGTCCATAGCTTCAGCTCACTGAAGAGATACTGGGCTGTGTTGTTTTCATTGCATATGGGGCTCTTGTATATATATATATATATACACACAATTATACACACATAATTGTGATTTTTGGATCTATTTTTGCTGTTCTCGCAGGCATTGGCACTTGATGCCATGTCCCATGAAGTCTCCGCAGAGCACGTTCCAGAGCCTGAAGAAGAACCTGAAGGCTGAACGACACCGCTTCTGCCCTTGGCAAGTGGTTTTATCCCTTCCGTTTCTGCAATAATTACAGTATATAGATCCAAACGTTGCAGGGCCAGCAGAGGATCAGGACAGGGATGAGCAAATGAGCACTCTGTGAATTCGGCTTCCTTGGAATGCTGCACGTCATCATGCTCCCCAAACTTCATTTAGATCATTGACGCTGTTGCAGGACGTTGTGCCGCCGGAGCAGCAATCAAGACGTGTGCGACCACCCGCAGGATCAGGTGAAGCGACCGGCCGAAGGTCGTTTTTTGGCGACCAACCGCGGTATGTGTTCCGAAGTTCGACGAAGCTCTGGATTTGTTGGACTTCCAGACGCAGGATGTTTGACACAGTAATTCGGATGTTTGGTACCTCTTAATTGCTCACTCCCAGACTCACGAACTGACACGGAGAATCGCATTGGTCAAAATTTCCAGATAGCATGGGCAGGTGCGGCTGCAGCAGTTGCGGCGCGTCGGCTTGCAGAACACACCATTGAAGGCGGCATTTGAATGATTCCTTTGGTCTAACAAATTTGACCCCCTTATAAGCATGTCAAGTCAGTCAAGTCAATACGTCTGCATACTACTACATAACTATACCGTGTGTGAGTATGTATATATATATATATGTAGATACACACGTGTATATAGTCATACATACACATGGAAGTCAAATTCAAGTGCTGTGTTCTTTGTTTTCTCCTTCTCAACTTTGAAACAACTGCTTCTTCACGTTTTCATCCCAGCTGAGACTGCGACCGCGGAGGCATGATCAAGCTGCACGAGCGGGAAAATCGCGATTTGGAGGACAACCGATTCTGCTAGCAGCGGAAGCACTTGCTTGGAACCTTTTTTTTGGCAGGCTCTTGTCAAGAAAAAGTTCTACACACCTGCTCCTGGCACTAAGCTGCCCACCGTATCTCGGCACGCTTTATACCATTAAAATAAGAAATCATTCAACCTATTTCGCTTCACTTGGCAGAACCAACGAAAGACACGTGATATGATTCACCGTAGATCCTGAGATTGCACAGAGGTTGCATGAAGTGATTATGTTGTCCCCAACAAGCATCGAAACACAGCGGCCACGAGCTGACAGCACATCGTTCTTGGCGCAAGATGGCGCCAGATGTTCAATGATCAATCAAGGTCTCGAGCTTGCCATCACTTGGCATGGGCAAAGGGAAGGTGCCTTGGTGCTGGTCTTGTTTTGTCAGATAGCTATGGATGAAATAGTTTGACCCAGAGTTTGGATGGTACCCTCTTCTTACACCCAATGTTACCCAAGGATCGATCTGCACCATCCTCTGCACCAAACGTGCTTTTCCACCAAGCGCATCCAGGCGTGCGATGAGACCAAGCGCATCCTCCGATTAAACTATCACAGGCGAGGCGTTTGTCGTTGGTCTGGTTCGTGAGGGATGCACACTCCTCTAAGGGAGAGGCGTGAGAGGCGTCTGTCTGCTGTGTGTAGTCATCTAGTCACAGTACGAGGGCCAAGGTTGTAATGTATACAGACTGTTTATCAATAACCCCCCTCATTTGACCGTTTGGACTGTAAACTTCTTCATGTTGTAGCGGTTTTTACTCTATTTTTTTGACAATTCTTTATTCCTATTCCATTTAGCAAGCCCCTTTCGTGGCAACGACGTAAGGATCCCCTGGATCCACCTGTTAAAGAGCTGCCAAGCCGAGGCTTCTACGGGTCTCACCAGGGTCTCCCATGAAGTGTCCAAAAGAACAGGCTTACCACTTTGGAAGGCTGCAAGGACCTAAGGATGCTTCGCCCTGCGGCGGTTTCTCTTTTACCCAGAAGGTGTGGTGTTGATGGGCTTAGGATCAACACTTGATTGGTCTTCCACGCTTGGTGGTGGTGGTGGTGGTGGTGTTCAACCCATATAGATCTTGAGCAATCCAATAGCTTTGGTAAGCACAGTGCAGCAAGAACTGAGCCAGGCCCCATGCCCGCAGAATCTGGTTTACATGAGTTATGAGTTTCCTTGGCTCACTGATCCCCATGGATTGAGGTGCGACACAGAGGTTCACACATGCTTCTCAAGCCTTGTGATTTCAGGAACCAAATGACAGCCTGAACCCAACCAGACACCCTGAACAGAACTCTCTCCAGTTGTGTTTCGCCCCCCGCGTCTCCAGTCGTAGTGTCGCCTCTGGTCCTTCAGGGTGCTCAACACTCCTACAGTGTACCAGGAACACAGGCCGAGGTGCGGTCCGAAATCGTGTCGACCTGGGAGTCCAGTTTCGAGCGGAGATTGGATGCAGTGGACATGTGTTCTTCTTATTGAACTACTAGTAGCTAGAAGCTACTAGTAGGGACCTGACTAGTTAGTAACGGCATTACTACTAGCTAGAAGCTACTAGTATTCTGAACCTTTGTACTTTGCTTTTGAAAGGTTGCTGATTTGGAGTCATATCAACGTCAGATCCGGACCCGGTGGGTCATGACACGAGCATCCGACCCGTTCGGATGACCGTTCGGTGACCGTTCGGTGACCGTTCGGTGACCGTTCGGATGTGGCGGGGTGCGAGTTTCGTTTGATTCTGGGCAAGACGTTCTTGACATTAGCGACATGAGCAAGATGTTCTGACTTGTGAGGCTTTGCATTAAGACTTGTGAGGCTTTGCAAGATTGTGTTCTCAGGTCGGCTGCGGACATGGATTTGAGGGAGGACAGGGGTGAGTTCTCGGTCATTTATGACAGAAAGGCGTGTGTGTCTCGGTGTGTCCATGCAGTCCACGTGGGCCATGACCAAGGCCACCTCACCTCCCCATTTGATGCTACGGATTTTTGATCTAGATTCTAGATCCATTGAGTAGAAACTCGACTGACCATCCCGCATGTTTCTCATTCCCGATCGACCTTCAGCAGTGGTTGCGGGCTAGGCAAGCCGACTCACTTTTTGATCGCTCGCCACCAGGAGAAGGCCTTTTTCAGCTCTGCTCCGCTCTGCTCAGGACCTGAAGTTGCACAACGATCCAGAATTACAAGAGAAGCGCTTCCTGAGACAGCGAGCCCTCCGCCCAGCTGTGACTCACAAGTGTTTTTCTTTTTCACATTTCTATGACCGGACACACGCATTTGGCTTTGTTTGGTCGAGTGATGTTGAAAGAGTTGCAGCTGGAATGACTTGGGACCTCTATATCATCCTTATGTCACTTTTTTGGGCCACAGCGATCATGATGATCTTTCGTGTGCCGCACGTTTCTGGCACCCAGGGCACCTACCAAGCAGTGCCTGGCAACGTAAAGGCCTGGCCGGCTGAATATCACCAGTACAAAAAAATCAGGCCGCCAGATTGCTTTCCAGCGAGGCTGTGTCACCTCAAAAGAAGAGCAAATCGGTGTGCTTGACGCCCATGAAATCTCAAAGTGTGTGAGCCCTAGCTGCCCTAGCTGTGTTTTTCACTTGCAGTCCTCGTTGCAGTCCGTTTTTTACTCACTGGTGTGGGTCATTGTGGGTTTACCCCCCCGATGGCCCCTTTTGCAAAAAGACATCGCCCGAGGCACCGCTCTTGCCGCCTGCAACTGGAGCAGATCGAGGACCTCCGAAGCTGAGGAGCCTTCGTCAAAGGTGTTTCAGCATGTTTCAGCCAGATTTAATGGACATGTGCCCACATATAGGCAGGCTATATATACACATATATATATATTACTATATATTATTAACTAATACATTATATTGTAGGTGGATTATATCGTATGCCCCACCTGAACTCTAAATGTTTTTTGACAAGCAAAACACAGCGGTAGGATCACCCACCTCGGACCTTACAGGGCCGTTTGAGTTTCATACTCAACTTGCCGCCTGAGGTATATTGCCCCCGGCATAGTTGGCAAAGGTATTTACGGCCCTTCTCAGGGGTCATCGTGTGCGTGCAATGCAGGTTAGGGTGCAGTCCAGAACCGGAAACAACAACTCTGTTCCCTCCAGTGCAAGGGAGCGCCATAGAGACTTTCAGCTTATCAAGCTTGACATAGTATTTCAACTCGCAACCACACAAAGTACATTTGAGGTTCTTTCCAACTTCTTGCTACACATGGCCAGTCGTACGATCAGTTTTAGCTTCAGCAAAAAGTGCTCGTAACGAGATAAAACGGGTGGTGCCAACCACTCACCAACTTCAGGAGCAACAGTGTCCCACTTCCAAGTGAGCCACAAACGGGGAAGCAGCCATTCATTGAGCTTCCACGCGCGCGCGCGCGCAGTAAGCCAAGACAAGGTGTCAGCGTGAGCTTGCATGTCAACACTTCCAGCTTTCTGATCACAGAGCTGATCAGCCTTGTTGTTAGCATGCCAAGCCCACTCAGCGTCAGGGTCAAGTGCAAGAAAAGCTTCAAGTTTGAGATGAGACTTGATTTTATACAACTGGATAACCTGACCTTTATGTTGCAGGGCGGCAGCCCACAAGTCCCCATGGCTATGCCAACAGAACCAAAAGACAAACGCCTCCAACCTTGGCCTCAACAACTATCCGTACGGGGCCATGCGTGCGCTGCAACAAACGCAGTTGACGAAGCGCCCTGGGCACAGTGTTTGGCCCTACCGAATGAAACAAGCAAACCACAGACACTTCCAAGGACATCGAAAACACCAGCCGAATTTTGTTTCATTGCCACCACAGCCCACGTACATTTACGCAGTCTGGGGTCTTTGGAATGCACGCCACCAGAGCCATCAGTGCCAAACCAGACGTCATCCCAAACGAAGCCAGGTTGCAGGAAACATCCGGTAGCAACAATTTGGGCATTTTCCCTTAGTTCATTTTCCCTCAGCCACACCACCTTTCCTCCACACCTGGGAAAGGTATCAAAAAGCAAAAACCATAGAACAGAAGCTTCCCCCATTGCACGCGCTTCCCTCTCACTCTCGCTTCCCTTGCAGGCCACTTGCAAAGGGGGCAAACAATTTGCTAAAGTTGAAGGATGGCAGAGGGCCTGGCTGCAATGCTTTCCTTTTAGTTTGACCTAAGGAAGTACTGAAAATAAAGGAAGAAAGAGATATGACAAAGGATGAAAGGTTTCTTCGCCTACACGCTTTGTGCCGCCTTTGTCATCCTTTAAGGCGCACCTCCAGCGCGACTCTTATGGCCGGGCATGAGGGCCGTTTGCTCTGGGTCTGGCAGTAGACTTTAGGTTGCATGCCGGGACTTTGCAGGGCTGAAATTGGACGGTCAGAAACTGATTGCTATCAGCTTTTCTGATAGCTGTTTTTTCGCCCAAGCCTTGCCCAGTCCATGTTCATATCCGTCCGGCTGCGCGACATTCTTTTTTGCGGTCCGACCGACTGCGATTGCGGAGAGAAAGACGGCGTGCTTGTATATATATATATATATGTGTGTGTGTGTGTGAGGTTTGGAGACTCGAGTTGGTGAGAATGACTTTGTGTCCACTTTCTCCGCTCGTAGGTTCACTGTCCTGCCTACATCTTGCGATATGATTCGCCTGACATCATCGAGAATTCCATTATAGACTGCCATAGACAGGCCTGAAACAGCTACTGAAACAGCTGGAAACTGTTGAAAGTTGTGGACCTGTGAAGGCTCGCTACTTGTCTTTCCAGCAACAGTTCGGTGAGCTTCAACCTCATGAACAGTTGCGAGAGGACAGCAAGATAGAGAAGTGACGAGAGATAGAGAGAGGCAGAGCCGGCAGAGCGACATGCATGCACCTTCAAACTTGAGCTTGTGCCGTGCTGAGTGGCCAGTCAAAGATTTGGGCTGCTGATTTCATCTTATTGCTTGTTCCTGTCTTAAACTAAAACCGAGACAGGATCGCTACATCTACAAGGCAGTTGAGCAGGCCTTCTGCAGGGAACAGCTTGCCTATAGCTAAAGACACGATGGCCACGTGAATTACCGAAGAGGATGGTAGAGCTTCCTTTATGACAATGTTCAAGAGAGAGAGAGAGAGATATTACACAAATCCATGGTCTGGAACAACCATTTTCAAAAGCCACCTCCAGCCTCCAAAACTACCACTGCTGACTTGCTGACCCTCTACCCCTCCTCACCTCTGACTGGGCTGTTTGGAAGGCCTGTGGGCAGCTGCTGTCGATGCTGGAGCCTCCGCCACAAGACATGCTGTCGGAGTACAGCGAGTCCACAGAGTCGACGGGTACCGAGGGCCCCCTGGCCTCAGGTGGAGTCCAGTCTGGAGTGGACCGGGTCGAAAGTGCATGAAGCTTCTATGGATGAGAATGAGGATGAGAATGAGGATGAGGATGATATGGATGATATGGATGATATGGATGATATGGAATGGAATGGAATGGAATGGAATGGAATGGAATGATGGATGGACCTTGGATCCAAAGAACTGTCTCCTCTGCAGAATCTGACACCCCACAGGTGTCTTGACAGGGGGCATTCGGTAGAGAATCTAACACCCCCAGCCTTCGACGGGGATGTGCCTCCACCGTGCGTAGCTTCTTGCTGCTAGGTCAATGTTGTAAATATATATATATATATATGCTTGTCCTTTCTTCGTCTGGAAGAGTCGAAGGTTCTTCTTCGAATGTGGAAGTCTCGTTCGACAGCTGAAGGCATCACTGCCGTCTTGCTTCGAGAAATCAAGCGAGAGCGGGTGGAATCCTGAGATCTGTCTGGAGATCCGTCTGGGATGTCTAGGGCTAAGGGGTTGTTGTTTGCATGAGTCACACCCAAGAAGACCCGAATCAGGTCCTAAGCTGTTTGCTAAGCTGTCGGACCAGGTGACTTACTTTTCAATATCGCGGGTTTTGGAGTTTGTGTCCTGAGCCGTGAATCACTGGCTGTGGTATGAGACACTTAAAACAAGATGAAGCGAAAGACAGACAGCACCCCAGACCAAGTCTTGCCGTTGGTAGCGGTAGAACCTGCATTTTCAGGGCGTCATCGCTGCCGCCCGGCCATCACACCATTTCCAACATGGACTGCGGTTGCAGAGTGTCTCATACAGAGGTGATTCGTATGTGGCCAGAAGCCAGTGGTTCCCTATAGATATAGAGTCCTCTATTTTTGCCATGATTTGGTCACTTGCCCACATCTGCTGAGGTGTTGCTGTTGCGATGTGTTCAGGCATTCCAACAGCGCCAGCAGGCGCAACAGAGATCGACCGATGGTCAGGCTTTTGGATGCATTGTCACCGGTCCGAGGAGGAACCACAGGTGGCAGACGAACCTCGCTTTGGCACCGATGGCAGGAGAGCGACCTGAGACCTGTACCGTCGACCCTGGCAGAACCTTTGGCAAGGTTGCGAAATGGCCAGGCGAAAGTTCGAAACGCCCACCGTCTTGGGAATCTGGAACTCATCCAAAAAGAGTGGAATTCCTGTTTGTTGTATGCAGAACTGCCTCATCTCGTCCCTCTGGTTGTCTTCTTTTTGACGAACGACCAGGCGCAAGACGCGAACCAGGCCGGGCCCTCGTGCTTTTGCTTTCGCGACCTGTGACGCGCTCCGCTCCGCTCGGAGCTCGTCGGGCTCGTCGGGTTCCGAGGACCGTCTCGTCGGCTGCAGCCATCTCTCGGATCCAATGCCGACACCGCCACCGGAGATCCATGACACCAATGCCATTCCGGTGAACGGGTAAGGGAACAGCAGCAACATGAACCGCCCACACAATCGAGAGCTTCGAACAAGATGTCTTTTGATTATCGGATAGCAACGATTTTGAAGAAATGGATACCCTCCATATCTACAATCATCTACAATCCAATGTTGAAGTTGCTTTCCATGAGATTCACACATATTTCGCCCACCAATTAGCGCCAATCTTCGCTATGGTGATGCGTTTCTTCAATCGGGGCGCTGCGAGCAAGAGCCAGGATCGGGGCCATCGGGGTCGTGTGGGGCGCGGTGTGTCTGAGTGTCAAGGGCCGCCAGAAAAGGTCTGGACAAATATATGAAAAACACATTAGAGAAGACTTGCTTGTCTTAAGGTTGCCTGTGGACCTCACTGGAGTGTCTGGCGGACAACAACATGAAGCAATCAATCAAATTGTGATGATGCCTTCCTGCTTTGCTAAAGTGCAGGAGTCCGCGACGAACGAGGTGACAGCTGATCATGGTCGTGCTCTCGAATTTCTTTGCACTTTGCAAGTGGTCACACCGCAGAATGTACAGTCGTTTCCTTGATAGCCATTCTTGCGTGATTCGACGAGGGAAACGAGTTTGGAAAAGCGTCGAAACGAGTTCCTGATAAGGTCTGAGCACAGTTCTTGCTCCTAGTAGCGTCCTCGTTCCTAGTAGTAAGGCCAGGAGCCCCTAGTAGCGTCCTTGCTCCTAGTAGCGATGCTCTTTGTTCCTATGTTCTCGGATCATGTTCTCGATTCAGGTCTGAGCACAGTTCGAGAAGACGAGAGTGCGGGCTTCAGCGCATCAACGGGAAGCCTCGAGAAGGGACTCACAGCCTGTGCATGTCATTTTCACAGCCTGGACTCAGAGAGAGGGGCTCTTGACCTGAGAGGGCACCCCAAAACACCAAATCCAGGCATTTGTTCGACCCTGAGGACATCTCAAGATCTCAAGCCAGATTCTTTTCCTTTTCGCAGCTACTGAGGGAGCTGCAAGAAAGGGTAGGTCAGCCCATGTGGCTTTAAATTTGGTGTCTACAACAGAACAACAGCCACATGTCAGTGAGTTGCACTCACCATGCGTGTGTTCGTGAACCGAAACATCATGCACTCGTTTTTCGGGGGGTGATCCCTCGGGGTCCTTTTGCTGCGTTCATGTGGTCACCGCAAGGCATGCCCAGGCCATGGGGTGCGTGTTTGTGACCGTGCCTTCAGGTGAGGACTTAGCGAAATCAAAAGTCCAAGGCTGGAGGGAAGGACAAGAAATGACAAGAAGCATACACTTGAAGGGGAGATGCTGCAGTGCCACCACCGAAGTATCAGAGTTGAATGGTTCGCGATTGTTCTGCTTGGGCAGGCTCCCCAGCCTACGTGACTAACACAGCGTTGGCGGAATCTCAGATGCAATTCTGGATCCTGTTGATGTCAACCGAACAGGTTTCAGTGCAAGACCTGGTCTCAGATCTCCCAGGAAGAGCCACCCAATGACGGCTTCAAGTTGCCGATACCGACTATCCCGAAGGACGGCTTCCGTCCCTTCATTGCGGTGTTTTTGGCACCATTTGTGGCGTTTCCCTTCAAAAATTCAGCAGCTAGCATCACTTGTGCAAGCATCAATGTTGTCAGACTCTTTCGCCGTCTAAAGAAGATTGGAGTGAACCAGTGAACCAATATGAAAACCACAGTTATGAACTTGATATGTCATGGAACTTGTGACAACGTGTGGCTTTTGGTTTCAGATGGCAAGTCGTTGCTTGAAGGACTGGCGCAATATTAGCACACCTTCCAACTCCTTTGGGCCTGACCCTCAGTCTTGCCAGAGTGGCTGCGTGAAGATGAACACGAGAACTTGGGGACAGAAGTACGTGCTACTGCTGACAGCAAAAACTATCAAAAGCTCAGTTGATAATGTTGACAACATACACACAGGGGCAACAAGCTCTAACAAGTTGTGCTTGTGTCATGTAAATGTGTGTCACATCATCAGCACAGCAGTTGCAGTGTGTGAAAAGATGTACAAAAGGGAAACCTTGTCGTCTGCATGCCCAAAGAGTCAATGTTGGCTGCCAGTGCCGCATTGTGTGCTTTGAGGAGCATCAAATTCTCAAAGTGTTGCCAAATGTTGCACTTCCGTGCTCTGGCATAGCAGGGTGCATCAAGGGTTCTGGGGTATGTGCTCGTTTAGTCTTTGACAAGCACACACTCATGCATACACACTGAATGAGCACACTCATTTGCTCTCGAAGTGAGCCTGTTGCTGGAGATCCGCGCAGAGTGATTGGATGCATGAGGGCCGCCTTCCAATACCCATAGGGGCCAAGCCACTTCCTGATACAGACTGATACTCGATTCTCAAGTGAAACCATGGTCTCCGTGAGAGGCCGACCCGATTCAGGGCTTATGGCACAGTGTGAGTAGCTATAGTATAGATGTTCTCAACCAGTCGTATCCGTCTCAGTACAAGATTTACCGATCCGATGCCAGCTTCATTGGAGGTGTCGACTAGTCACACTAGTCTGTCACACTAGTCTAGTCAATTCTTTTTTGCATGTGTTTTGAATGGTAGAGGACCATGTGCAGTTTCCTTCATCACGGGTGTGCAGCCATCATCGAATTGCTTTT